GGTAAGCAGATCTTTTAGATCTTCTAGGACTGTAGATCTTTTAGATTTCTCCTAGATTTAGCAAGCATTAAGATATAGTGGGGGGAAGCACCCACATGTCACCAGCTTAAAGCATGTTGAACTTTGGTCCATGTTGGCAAATCATACATTAGTTTGTTTTAATTTGCAGGGATTCCTGTGGACCTCGGCACTTTAGTTGTTGGCATTATTTTGGGGTCTCAGTCCAGGGAAGGCATAGCTGAGAACCACTTCACCACCAATGTCCCCAAGAGAAAAATTAAACTTAAAGAGTAATTCAGTATGTCCACCAAAAAAAGGAAAAAATTGTCTGGTCTAACCTTCAACTAAGGCTGATCACAAAGGACAAGAAATCTCCTGAAGAAGCAGAAGCGGTGAGATATTTGTTTGCCCTCCGTAGCACCAGGACCTGATGCTGCTTCTTGCACAATTCCACGCCATAGGCTGCAGTACAATGCATTTCAGCCAGAGGCGGACTGACCATTTGGAAACTCGGGCACTGCCCGGGGGCCTGTGGTCAGTAGGGGGCCCCATGAGATGCCCCTGGTACCTTTTTCATAGGCTTTTTTGAGTTTGGGCAAGGACACAGGGGCCCCATGATCCCCTATTGCCCGGGGTCCCCATGAGTTGTCGTTCTGCCCCTGATTTCAGCATAAAAAAAGGTCATTATCATCCCCTAGGGCAGAGGTCTCCAAACTATGGCCCTCCAGCTTTTGAATTATTAGAAGTCCCATCATACCTCTGCCTCTGGGAGTCTTGCCTGTGGCTGTCAGAGTCTTTCAAGGCCTCATGGGACTTGCAGTTCCTCAAACCTGGAGGGCCATAGTTTGGAGAGACCCCTGCCCTAGGGCACCAGGAGAACAAGTGGACCTTATTAGGTCACCCTCATAGTAGTATTGCATGACAATGGCATATTAAAAAAAAAGAGATTATTATATTGCTTTTCCCAGCTTCACACCCTTGGCAGAAGGGGAAGCATAGCTGGTAAGTAACTTTAACATTCATCCACAATAGGTTGTCGTTACTCATGTACGTGGATGGCTGATGATTTGTTGAAACTGGGTGATGTGTGTAAGCTTGGCAGATCTCTGCTTTTGTCTGCATATTTGTATTGTGTTACTTGTATACTATGGCCTCACCAGGGGCGGACTGACCATTTGGAAACACGGGCACTGCCCGAGGGCCCAGGGTCAGTAGGGGGCCCCATGAGATGCCCCTGGTACCTTTTTCATAGGCTTTTTTGAGTTTGGGCAAGGACACAGGGGCCCCATGATCTTCTATTGCCCGGGAGCCACATGAGTTGTCAGTCTGCCCCTGATTTCAGCATAAAAAAAGGTTATTATTATCCCCTAGGGCAGGGGTCTCCAAGCTATGGCCCTCCAGCTGTTGAAGTACTAGAAGTCCCATCATACCTCTGCCTCTGGGAGTCTTGCCTGTGGCTGTCAGAGTCTTTCAAGGCCTCATGGGACTTGCAGTTCCTCAAAACCTGGAGGGCCATAGTTTGGAGACCCCTGCCCTAGGGCACCAGGAGAACAAGTGGACCTTATTAGGTCACCCTCATAGTAGTATTGCATGACAATGGCATAAAAAAAAAAAAAAGAGATTATTATATTGCTTTTCCCAGCTTCACACCCTTGGCAGAAGGGGAAGCATAGCTGGTAAGTAACTTTAACATTCATCCACAATAGGTTGTCGTTACTCATGTACGTGGATGGCTGATGATTTGTTGAAACTGGGTGATGTGTGTAAGCTTGGCAGATCTCTGCTTTTGTCAGCATATTTGTATTGTGTTACTCGTATACTATGGCCTCACTGTACTGTATGCAGTCTGTATAATATGTTCCGAATGAGATGCCTTCTAAGCTAATCTGCTGTGCAATTTCCATACAAAACTGACAGAAGAGATTGCCTAACAATTATTTCCGTGATAGGAGCTACCATGGAATAGCTTGACACAGTATAATATCTATGTGCAATGAAAGGATGGCTCCACTAAAAATTCCAACGGCAGAAAAAGCAATCCACACACTTTCATTTCCTTATCTAAAAACAGCCAAACAATGAGAACGGCTTTCAAAAAAATGTATAAGATATGAAACAAGATTATGGTGATGTATGGCAGATCACAAAACGCAAAAATCATCTCAAAGCCGGCCATATCAGGATCGAAAATCATCCAGTTCTGCAGGGACCGAAAAAATTTTGATCCATATATGGACACCCTGGTTGTACAGAATTCAATCTATTGCTCGACTGCTGTATAACCGGTCTGTCGGGGTTTTCCTGATTGATCGGTGCCGCCAGCTATAGCCAGCAGCAATAATCATTGTAATCTAATGGTGGGGAATGCTCCCCTCTGTCAGAATACAATAGCTCAACAGAAGTAATTCCCCCATCCTCATCAAATGTTTGGATGGGGGAATCAGATCTTTTTTTTTTCTGTTCAACCCACTGGTTAAACAAAAAAAAAAAGATGAATTTATGAACTGCCTTACTCTTTAAAGTGGAACTGCACTGCATGCAAGCACCACATACCAAAAAATGATATTTAATCTCACATGGAAGAAAAATATATTTTAAATATATTTTAAAAATATTCTTCCCAAATATATTGACATATATTTGAAATACTACAATTTTGGCCGTATACAATATATATTCCTATATATAAACTGTATGTTAAAATGCTTTTTTTTTATATATTACAAAATACATGAAAAAATTTTTTTATTTTTTTTTTATATATTCCTCAGATTTTTTTTACATATAAAAATGTCATTTTAACATATGTTTTTACATATATTTATAAATGCATCCCAAAAATGTAGATTAAATGTAGATTAAATGTATTTTTAAAGACACACAGTATATTTGAAAACGTATTTTTTAAAAACATTTTTCATAGATTTTTGTAATATATAAAAAAAGCATTTCAACATACAGTATATATATATATATTTATTTATTTTTAAAATATATTGAATATGTCCAAAATTATAGTATTTAAAATATATGTCAATATATTTGGGAAGAATATTTTTAAAATATATTTTTCTTCCATGTAGGATTCAATGTTAATATTCAAAGTAAACTCCCCCATCTATGTCTCCATGATTTATTTTGCTGAAAAGTCATTTTGAAAAACACCCCCCTAGCATTTCTGGCAGTGGCCTTCTTGAGTAAGAGCAGATGATTCATGTAGCATTTACTTCCTGGAATCCATCTGCCCTTAGCTCAGGCATTGGCTTCCTGAAGATTCCTGGGATGTATGACATCATTTGCCTAGGCCTGGAAGCCAGGGAAGTAACTGAAAACATTTGAAAAAAGTTTAAAACAAGTAAAAAATAATATAATTTCCTATCCATTTACGAATGTTAGCAGGATTAAAAGTAGTCAATGTTGAGTGAAGTTCTGCTTTAAGTTGTACAGTAGACGTAACAATAGGGATGAGCTGCCAGTACGTTCCCAATCCAAGAGTGGTTCGGAGATTTTCAAAAACAGCCAAACAAAATGGGTGTTCGTCTGTGCCAAACCTGCTGCTACACGTGACAAACTTCCTGCTTTGGGCTCCTGGTTGTCAGGGAGCTGCAAGCATTGTAAAAGCCAGTAACGCATGCCCCTCCCAGCCCGTTCAGCTGTCAGCGAGGGATTCCTGACGGGCAGATGAATGTAAACAAATGTGCTGGGATACTCATAGCACACCCTTATCTCAGCATGCAGCCTGGCAGACCAGGAAAGGGGAGGGATAAAGTGTGTGCTCCCCCCATCTCCAACCATACATGGGCACATGCCCTCAGCATGGGGGGGACCTTGTCTCTTCCTCATCACCCAGGCCCAAGTGCCTTTGGAGGTCTGTGGGTGGGGAGCTTATCTGGAAGTCCCTACATACAGCACCTCTAAATTACTTGAACAAATTCCCTATCCCATTCATAAAAAAATAAATAAGAAAAAAGAAAACGCATCAAAAACACGTGAAAAGCGTGTGTGCAAAAGCGCACCGTAAAAAGCACTGCAATAACGGATCAAAAGCAAACAGCATAGGTGTGAAGCAGGCCTAAACAACATGACAACTGTGGGATTCTAGGAGGAAGTCTTTTGTGTCTGCGTAGTATTAACTATGATTTAACCCTTTCCCCAGACCCACAAGCCAAGGTCAGCTCCAAATTAACCATTTTCTTGCTTCTCAAGGGACCGAGCCCCAGTAAAAACAACCAATACCAAAAGACGAAGTACCATACCATCATGGGCCCCACTTTTTGTTTGCGTTCCCTAGACCCCCAAAGATCCACTATCCGCCAAGCTGCAGTGACAAAATTTCCTATAATCTGACCTACTTGGAAGAGAAAAAAGTGAGGGTAGGCTGGCGGTTCAACTTTCTCTCGTCCAAACGTCTGGAAATATTTCCTAGCAATCACCACAGCTCCTACCCATTCGGTTCCTCACAATATCTTGATAGTCAACCTCCAATCAGTAAAAGGCATCTTGAACCTATACATCTTAAAGTGGTTGTAATCCTCAGATATGAAAAATGAACAAAGCATATCCTTCTATAGTGTGTACTTGTTTCAATTAACTAGTAGCCGACCGCAGATAGCCGAATGCCGGCTGCACTGCGGCCGGCCAGTTCTGAGTGGATGTCATATGACGTCCCCCCAGAACGCGCTCTCCTGCGCGCCCCAGGGGGTGCACACCCGGCGATCTCCATGATCGCTGTGTCCTACGGACACAGCTGATCACGTGATGTGGTAAAAGGCCAATCACAGCGGCCTTTTACCACGTGATCAGCGGTGTCCAATGACACGCTGATCAGAGGGAAATGCAAGTGCCGGTTCTCGGCTGCACTTTCCTCACGCTGTCAGATCGTGAGGAAAGTACTGCCGAGAACCAGCAGTTGTCAGAGCGAGGATCGGCACCGATCATCAGGGCACTGATGATCAGTGCCCTGATCATCGGTGCCCAGCAGTGCCACCCGCAAGTTCCGCCCACCTGTGCCCAGCAGTGCGCCCACTAACTCCGCCCACCTGTGCCCAGCAGATCACCCACCTGTGCCCAGCAGTGCACCCACCTGTGCCCAGCAGTGCATCCACCTGTGCCACTCTGCAGTGTCACACCTGTGCCCAGAAGTGCCACCTACCTGTGCCCAGCAGTGCCACCCACCTGTGCCCACCAGTGCCACCCACCTGTGCCCACCCACCAGTGCTGCCCACCAGTGCCACCCACCAGTGCAGCCCAGCAGTGCTGCCAGTCAGTGCCACCAGTCAGTGCCCAGCGGTTGTGCCAGTCAGTGCCGCCAGTCAGTGCCCAGCAGTGATGCCAGTCAGTGCCGTCTATCAGTACCCATCATCAGTGTCACCTATCAGTGCCGCCTATCAGTGCTGCATTTTAGTGCCGCCTATCCGTGACACCTCATTAGTGCTGTCTATCAGTGCCGCCTATCCGTGCCACCTCATTAGTACTGCCTATCAGTGCCCTTTGGTGCTGCCTATCAGTGCCGCCTATCAGTGCCCATCAGTGCTGCCTCATCAACGCACATCAGTGAAGGAGAAAAATTACCTGTTTGAAAAATTTTATAATAGAAACAAAGAAATTTTTTTTTTTTTTTCAAATTTTTTGCACCTTTTTTATTTATAGCGCAAAAAATAAAGTGCCCAGTGGCAATTAAATACCACCAAAAGAAAGCTCTATTTGTGAGAAAAAAATTATCAAAATTTCATATGGGTACAATGTTGCATGACCGCGCAATTGTCAATCAAAGTGCGGCAGCGCTGAAAGCTGAAAATTGGCCTGGTAAATAAGGGGGTATAAGTGCCTGGTAGGGAAGTGGTTAAGAAAACTAAGTGTCATTTCTATCCACTGCTTCATTCATCTGCTATCAGCATGAGTCACTTCTGACAAGTTTTCCTGACACCAGAAAACAATGGTAACAGGGGAGGGAGCTCCAGCGCACAGGACTGTGATTGACAGCCTCAGCTCTGTTCCTATGTGTTGTATAAGGATGGGTGTGTCCCTTCCCTCCAATCATCTCTCAAAGCTCTCCTCACTGAGCTCTGAAGTGTGTATTGTCAGCTCTCTGCCTCCTGTTTCTTGAAAGCTCAGACAAGCTTTATAAGTTTGAAAAAAGAGAGGAAGGCGCCTCTAAGTGCAGTATAGACAATTTATTAGTGAACAATAGACAAATTGCACTCAGGGGCGGACTGACCATCTGAGCACTCGGGCACTGCCCGAGGGCCCGGGGTCAGTAGGGGGCCCCATTAGATGCCCCTGGTACCTTTCATTGGCTTTTTGATAGGCTTTTTTGTGTGTGGACGAGGACACAGGGGCCCTATGACCCCTATTGCCCGGGGGCCCCATGAGTTGTCAGTCCACCCCTGATTGCACTTACAAGATAAATAGTTAAAAAGACTCATTGTGTGGTGTACTAAGATCCAGGTGAGACATCCAGCCGTCCAGCAGCAAACTCTGTCTATAGGATCAGGAAATAAAGCCTAGGATGTGCCTGTGTATCAAAATGAGGCTTGGTGAGCAGAGTCGGATGTAGGCGGTGAAGGGGACAGTAACACATTTCGGAGCATGCTCAGTAGGCTCCTTCTTCAGACCTGAGGCCCTTTATTATTATTATACAGTATTTTTAAAGCGCCAATGGTTCACTCAGCGCTGTACATTACAAAGGGGGACAGAACATGTGACAGAACAATACCAATACAATGCAAAACATGAGGGGATGGAGGGCCCTGCTCTTTCGAGCTTACAATCTAGGAGGGAGGGGATGGTGGCACAGGAGGAGAAAGCTGTGGGGGATGGAGTGGTAGGAAGAGTGGAGGAGGTCGGCAAGTTAGCAGGGGTTTGGGGTAGGCTTCCCTGAAGAGATGGGTTTTCAGGGTGCGCCTAAAGGAGAGGAGAGTAGGTGATAATCTAATGGGTTGGGGCAGGGAGTTCCAGAGGATGGGTGACACCCTGGAGAAGTCCTGGAGGCGGGCATGGGGGAGGAGGAGACCAGGGAACTAGAGAGAAGGAGGTCTTGTGAGGAGTGGAGTGTGCGTGTTGGGTGGTACTTGGATATTAGGTCAGTGATGTAGTTCAGGGCATTATGGTGGAAAGCTTTGTACGTCAGTGTTAGGATTTTGAATTTGATCCGTTGCGCAATCAGAAGCCAGTGGAGGGATTGGCAGAGGGGGGTGGCGGAAATGGAGCTGTTAGAAAGGTGAATGAGTCTGGCAGCCGTATTCAGGATCGACTGAAGCGGGGATAGCCAGCGGCGAGGCAGGCCAGTGAGGAGGGAGTTGCAGTAGTCGAGTTGTGATATGATGAGGGAGTGGATGAGGTGGATGAGCTGTTTAGTGGTTTCTGGGGTCAGGAACGGGCGGATTTTGGCGATGTTGCGGAGGTGGAGTCTGCACGAGTTTGTTAAAGATTGGACTTGGGGCTGGAAGGATAGGTTGGAGTCCAGAATGACACCAAGTACTCTGGCCTGCGGGCGGGTTTGATGGTGGCATTGTTAGATGTGATGGATAAGTTAATGGGGGGGTGGTGTCTGGGCTGGGGGGAAGACAAGAAACTCGGTTTTGGAGAGGTTCAGTTTAAGGAAGTGGAGTGACATCCAGTCTGATATGTCGCTCAGTAGGTGTGTGATTCGGGCAGAGACCGAGGGGGTGAGGTGGGGGGTTGAGAGATAGATTTGTGTGTCGTCGGCATAGAGGTGGTAGTTGAAGCCGTGAGAGTGTATGAGTTGGCCAAGGGAGGAGGTGTAGATGGAGAAGAGAAGGGGCCTGAGGATGGAGCCTTGAGGGACTCCAACAGAGAGGGGGAGTGAGGGGGAGGTGGTAGCATTATAGGTAACACTGAAAGAGCGTTGTGACAGGTAGGATAAGAGCCAGGAGAAAGCAGAATCTCTGAGCCCTACAGCTACAGAGATTGGGCTCTAACAAGCGTGCCCTATATAATATACATTGTATGGAAGCTTTATAAGTTCTAGACTTTGAATGAATGTAGAGGAGAGAAGATTCAGATAAACAGGTACAACGTATGTAGGAGGATTTGTTTCATCTCAGTGTATCACCTGAGGCCAGTCACTTCACTGGGTAAGGGTTTACAGTCACTTTAATTCTTTCTTGGAACTATTGCTCCCATCATGTAGCCCCTCCGTAAATTTCATTCCTCTGGGTCTGTCCTTAAAAGAATCACATGGCTTGATTTTTTGGCCTCATCTACCATTTTACAAATATTTTTTCCCTGTTTACATTAGCAAATGTAAAATAAATGTAGAGGATGTAGATAATAATAATTAGGGTTGCATTGATACGGGTTGTTTTTTCGGCGAGTACGAGAACCTATACTTGTGCTCAAGTACTTGCCGATACTGATATCCTTCGATTTAAGCCCATACTAAATAAATGGCTCAAATTTAGAGGCAGCACAGTGGCTAAATGGTTATGACTTCCACCTGCAAGTACTAGGGTTGTTGGCAGGGGTGGACTGACCATTTGGAAACTCGAGCACTGCCCGTGGGCCCGGGGTCAGTAGGGGGCCCCATGAGATGGCCCTGGTAGCTTTTTCATAGGCTTTTTTGAGTTTGGGCAAGGACACAGGGGTCCCATGATCCCCTATTGCCCGGGGGCCCCATGAGTTGTCAGTCTGCCCCTGGTTGTTGGATCAAATCCCAGCCACAGCACCACCTGCATGGAGTTTGCATGTTCTCTTTGTGCCTGTGTGGGTTTCCTCCAGGTATTTCAGTTTCCTCCCACACCACAAAGACATGCTGGTAGGTGAATTGGCTCCTGTCTAAATTGGCCCTAGTAAGTGTATGTATGAATGTAAGTTAGGGACCTTAGACCGTACACCCCTTGAGGTTAGGGACTGATGTGAATGTACAATATACAGTTGCAAGAAAAAGTATGTGAACCCCTTGGGATTACGTGGAGTTTTGCATGAATTGGGCATAAAATGTGCTCTGAACGTCATCTAAGTCACAACAATAGAAGAACACAGTCTGCTGAACATAATACTACACAAACATTAGATGTTGCCATGGTTTAATTGCACATAACATGTAAACATTCACAGTGCAGAGAGGAAAAAGTATGTGAGGCCCTAGCTTAATGACTTCTCCCAGAGCTAATTGGAGCCAGGAGTGAGCCAACCTTTACTCCAATCAGTGTGATGATATTGGATGTGTTGATGACAGCTGTCCTGCCCTTAAAAAACACACACCTGTTTTGGGTTTACTGGTTTCAAGAAGCATTGTCTGATGTGAACCATGCCTCGCAGAAAAGAGCTCTCAGAAGACCTACGATCAAGAATTGTTAACTTGCATGAAGCTGGAAAGGGTTACAAAAGTATCTCCAAAAGCCTTGATGTTCATGTGTCCACGGTAAGACAGACTGTCTACAAAGGGAGAAAGTTTAGCACTGTTGCTACTCTCCCTAGGCGTGGTCGTCCTGTAAAAATGATTGCAAGAGCACAGCGCAGAATGCTGCATGAGGTAAAGAAGAATCCCAGAGTGTCAGCTAAAGACCTACAGAAATCTCTGGCACATGCTAACATTTTTGTTGACACATCTACAATAAGGAAAACATTAAACAAGAATGGAGTACATGGGAGGACACTACGGAGAAAGCCATTGCTGTCCAAAAAGAATATTGCAGCACGTTTGAAGTTTGCAAAACAGCACCTGGATGTTCCTCAGCACTACTGGCAAAATATACTGTGGACAGATGAAACCAAGATTGAGTTGTTTGGGAAGAACACACAACACTTTGTGTGGAGAAAAAAAGGCACAGCACACCAACATCAAAACCTCATCCCCACTGTAAAACATGGCGGAGGGAGCATCATGGTTTGGGGCTGCTTTGCTGCCTCAGGGCCTGGATGGATTGTTGTCATTGATGGGAAAATGAATTCCAGAGTTTATCAAGACATTTTGCAGGAAAAAAACGTACGACCATCTGTCCGCCAACTGAAGCTCCGCAGAGGATGGGTGATGCAACAGGACAATGACCCAAAGCATACAAGTAATTCAACAAAACAATGGCTGCAACAGCACAGAATACACCTTCTGGAGTGGCCCAGTCAGAGTCCTGACCTCAACCCGATTGAAATGCTGTGGCATGACCTTAAGAGAGCGATTCACACCAGACATCCCAAGAATAGTGCTACACTGAAACAGTTTTGTGAAGAGGAGTGGTCCAAAATGACTCCAGATCGTTGTGCAGGTCTGATCTGCAACTACAGGAAGCGTTTGGTTGAGGTTATTGCTGCCAAAGGAGGGTCAACCAGTTATTAAGTCCAAAGGTTCACATACTTTTTCCTCCCTGCGCTGTGAATGTTTACATGTTATGTGCAATTAAACCATGGCAACATCTAATGTTTGAGAAGTA